CGCATGTCGATCCATGCAGCCATTAAAAAGCGTTTTGAATAGCAAAATTCGGCCACCACAAATAGATAATAGATAATGTGTGTGTGTGTGTGTGTGTGTGTGTGTGTGTGTGTGTGTGTGTGTGTGAGAGAGTGTGCATGTGAGTGTGTGCGCGTGTGCGCGTGTGTGAGTACAATGTGAGCGTGCTCGTGTCCATCTGAGTTGTGGCCTTTATCCCTAAATTCTTCGCATCTCCATCTCCCCACCCCTTCACCCCGATCCCGTTTCCCAGCCCAGAGCAACTCACCACGACGGACTTCGGGGTCCTCAAAAGGCTTGTCCTCGTCAAAACCCTGGCAAAGGAGGACATTAAATACCATCATAAACTACGTGTTTGTTTAAATAGAGGCACTGAACTTGGCAACCCATCTCGTTTTGTTTGTTTAAATTTAGCAAGAGTTTTGTACATTAGTACTTGCAACCTCTGCGTCATGTTATACATGCCGAAGATTAGAGATATTCTTGAGAGTAACATAGACAGAAAAGGAGGGGGTATAAGGGCCAAGAATGTTCGACTGGAAAGAAGAGCAAACCATATCAGAGCACCAGCCAACCGTCGTCTCGTTTTGTCCGAGTTTGAGGTTTTAAAAAAGCTCATGGACCCAATAACAGCCATAATAATAACAAATTGGTGCGGAGAAACAAGATGGACCGAAACAACACGGGGAAAAAGAAGTGTGACGCACCAGGTGCGCCCTCGAGACACCCACATCCATATTTAACGTGTCTCTTAAATCTCCTACTTAACCAGACCTTTGAGAACATGTTTGTTAAAATTTGTTACATTCCTCTATTGTTCTATACCAACTTCTGTGGGGCCTGGTGGGTAGGGGGCGGGACCTGAGGGATAGGGGAGGGGGGGGCACAGTTTGTTTGGTAAGGGGCGGGGCCCTGTACGTTTACCCTGTAGGGAAATTTTGAGAATAGAAAATCACACGTTAGCAATCATATTATATAGTCAAGTAGCACACGCCAAAAGTGAAACATACACACAGGCACACATAATATTGTACACAGACATGAATTGCAAATATACACACACAAACACACGCACAAACACACGCATACACACACGCACGCACACACATACACAAACACGCACGCACACACACACACACACACACACACACACACACACACATACACAGTGCTGTTTACTGTCTATAAAACACACACAAATAATTATGCTTACACGAACACAAGTAGCTAGGTAACAACAAACATAATTAATACTAAACAGACACGCCACAAGGCGGACATTATACAACCATAAACATACAAACGTATTATGCCAAAATAAACACGAGCAAACAAACACACGGTGAAGCGCACACTAACACACACACATACATAAACACACACACACACACACACACACACACACACACCAT